ATATAGATCTCTATATATATAGATATATAGCTTCCCAATAAAGACATTACCTGGACCCTTCTATCCTGGAAAGCATACCGTATACGGTCTAGCACCATATAGTATTTAAATGTAATCTGTGTTATGCACCTGTGCTGGCAGAATTCCTTTCTGTATATTCTTGTCCTCAAGTATTGAATATATTTAGTTTATAACAGATCACATTTTTCTAACCTAGAGCGTATAAGTAGGGTAAAATTTATACAAATATAATGGCACTCTGTGGCTGAATTACTAAAGAAGTAGAAAAACTTCACTTAGTTTATAGAAAAAAAACAACTAAAGCTATGCTTACTCTGAATACCTGATTGTGTACAAGGCATTTAAAAAACACTGCTTTGCACATGATATGATTAAATGAGTGATCATATTTTCACTTTATTCTCTAAGCTAATTGAATGTACGATACTCCCTTAATAAATCCGCCAACCTAATGTTTACTACAGTGGTTAATTTCTGCGAACACAAATATCTTTAAAAGTAGAGAGCTGCTCATATTATTCAGAACAGTAAACCAATATGTGTTTAGTCACGGGAAAAAACTGTGGGAACCATTAGAAGTCAATGCAAACATAGAAAGTATATATGAACTTTATACAAATGGTGTTTGCGGTTGGAACTGAGGCCGGGCCCCCATTGCTGAAAGATCACAGCATGGAACAACATGCCAAATGTTATTATTATGGAAGTTATCTGTATCCTATATTTCTCCTGACAGCAATGTATGCATTCTGGAAGAGGTGTTCATAAATTAACATCAATGGTCATGGTTCTGGCTCATGCAGCTACCCTATAAAACATGCATTGCTTACACTAGAAGGCACTAGTGGCTACATACATCTTTATATTCCAGAATGTATATGTAAATTCACCTAAGGTTCACAATGTGTGCAAATGATCAATATGTTAACTGTATATTGTGGTGATACTAATATCTTACTCATGAGTGTTATTCTTCTAGGAAGCAAGTCTACAAATCCCTCAGCACTCTCTATCCAAATTATGCCTGCAAGCAATACTTAGATGCATTTCAACAGCTGGAAAAATATTGTGGATTTACAGAAAATTCTATACCTCAACTTCAGGATGTTTCCAATTTTCTTAAAGGTAATGTGTTAAGCAGAAAAAAAATTACAGCAATCACATCTTTTGAGTTGTTGGATACATAACCAGAAGATAGGTTGTAAGAACATGCAACATTTACAAGTACAATATATGCAGCAAAGGTTTACAATACGGCTCATCACCTGTTCAGCATGCCAGGATGTTCCTTGGGACATGAAACGAAAAAGGATTACTGATGATTTAAAAAGGAGAATCTGCAATTTGACAATGTTTAATGTGCACAGTAAGCCATCCTGCAATCATACCTTGAAGCCATGTTTGAAGTGGAAGCACGGTCAATGGGAGCACAATATAGATATATATATATATATACAATATAGATAGCACCATGTTTCCCTATTAAAAAAAAAATAGGGCAACATGGTGATGGTCAAGTCAACAAGAGCAATTTAACTCAAAGGAGTATGTTATATATACATTGTGACATATTGGGGACACATCCCCTTTATTAAAGTGACACAGACAAAGTTCAGAGGGAAGCAAAGCATATATTGTCTATAGACATCAAAAAACAGTTTGGAATTTCATGCATCTCTTAATGTTAAATAAGGAGTGGGACTGGGTAAGGTATGTGATACCTGGGTAAGGTAGATGCCTTAGATTTCTGCCAACTTGTTAAAACCTGTTCTTAAAATTATTTGTATATATGTCTGTGTAGCCTTCATGATATCTGTAACTTCTATTGATGGTGCTAAGTTAAAGGAAACCTGTATTGGGAAAATTGTGTAGGTTACTTCACCAAATACTGGTAGCCTAGATGACTCTGGCTTCAGTACTATCGGATGTATATACCAGAAAAAAGTATGCAGTTAATAGAAGTTATACTGAAATCAAAACACCTGATCTGCATACTTGTGGGTGACTAACTCACAATGTATCAAACCCATTAGATAAGCATGACAGTCGGGGGCTTGCATTTTTAGGGGTAGAGGAGAGAGCAATCGCATTCTGCATATGCCTCTTGGTACAGGTTTCCTTTAATCCTACAGACTTTCCTTTTGTTGTATTCAATTATATAGAAAGAACAGGATTCAAACTGAGACCAGCAGCTGGTTTGCTTCCTGCTCGGGATTTCCTGGCTTGTCTAGCTTTCCGTGTATTTCCAACAACCCAGTACCTGAGACATCCCTCTACTGTCATGCATTCTCCAGAACCGTGAGTACATGCAGCATTAAACACATGTGGCTAACACTGCTCCTCATAAAGTATTTATGGTAACATGCTGTTACCTTATATGCAATTTTATGACACCCCCTGACGCCCATTGAAATTGCAGCCTAGCAAAAGTGCTTATATACTGTGCATAGAGTCATTGCAATATTTGTTGCTTTTTTTCTGTGAAACAAAACTCTAACTTTAATTTCTGATTATAAACCTGGCTGTTGTCTCCCTCTTAAACTGTGGCCTACACAAAGCTGTGGCCTACAAAAGCTGCTTACATAGTATGCGTCAAATCTATAAATAAATAAATAATTAATAGGTAATAAGTACAAGGAGTCCAGTGGAAGATCACTTGTAGAGAACATAAAAGTGGGAGGGGGAACACGAATTGCCCATGCATGTGTAAAAAGGGAAGGGTGGAGTTGCCCCTTGGTTTACATGTCACAACTAGAGAAAAGAGGTACCCCAAAAGATGGCAGTATAGGCAGGTAGTGCTCCCAAAGGGATCTGATAGTTACAGTATGAATGACAATCAGAGGTCAGAGGATAGAGGTAAAATAATAGTATTGGGTTATTGTTTGCCTTTGTTTGATTCCTCTCTGTTGTCTTTTTTTTTCCTCTCTCTTTTTTGAAAGATATATATGAGATATATATGTATATGTGACTAAATTTAAAAAACAATTACTTATAGCTGTTGTTTTAGCATTACATTACAAATCCCAACATGTCTCTGCGAGTCATGCCTGTAACTGTCAGTCTTGCAATGCCTCATGGAACTTTTAGTTCCACAACAGCTGCAGGGCCCACCCCTGGTTTGAAAGTATCTTGTAACATGACAACAGTTTTTACAGTCACCACTAACCTAACATGTCTCGACTGTGACACTGTTATGGTTCATACACCTCTCTTCAAAAATGCAGTTTATTATGCTATACTCTTGTAACATGACAGACACACTTCTGCAACAATATGCAAAGTGTGGCACAAATATAAAGAAATGATAACTCTTTCAAATATTAATATGAATATATATTCAATCTGATTTTGCACATACATATACACTCAGACACCAGAAACAGTGTCTGTATCTGGTACAAGTCATCCCTATTTACTGTATGAGTATCATAAGCAGCTAGAAATGTGAACAAATATGTCTGAATTTTTTCTAAAATAATGCACTCTAATTTTTATTTCATAATTATATACCTGCCTAATTTCTCCCTCTGAAATTACGGTCTTCTAAAAGTACTTAAATATTGTGGAGTGAGTGTGTACAATATTTCTGGCTGTTGTCTCTTAAATAATACACTGTAATTTTTATTTAAAATATGTAATTTATTTTATTTATACAATTTTAAGTATATTTTTTGTTATAGTTTAAATTCCAACTTAGCTGACAGTCTGTTTAAGGCCTTGTTCACACCAAGCGCGGAGCAGATCCGGACCAGAGCAGGTGCAGACCGGATCAAAACTGCGTCAAATGTATTCCTATGGTATTTTGACCTCCAGTTCACATCGCAGCGTGCGGATCCAGACCGGATGAAAAAAATGCTGCAAGCCCTATTTTACCTGCTCTGGATCTGGTCTGGAACGCATCAAAAACGCATCTAAAACGCAAAAACGCATCAAAAACGCATGCAAGTGCCTGAAAGTCCATGTTAAACTTTTTTTTTTACCAAAACCGGCCCTAAACGCATCAAAAACGCATCCAAAACGCGTCTAAAACGCGGCACAACCCACTACACTGCGTGTGCAGAAACCTGTCCGGATCTGGTCTGCATTTGGTGTGAACAAGGCCTAGGTATTGCTTTTATTGTCCCAGCATCTCGTTGAAATTTTTGAAACATACTGTGAACCTGAAACAACACACACCCTTATATTAGGTTATTAGTGCAGTTTAGCAGTCACAAATTCCTTTGCTGTGATGAAGGCTCTCTCTGACATGGCACGTGCAGCAGGGCAGACAAGTACATAAAATGCATATAGTGCAACCTCCCGCCAGTGGTCTAGCTTGGACACACAAAAATTATATTTGGAAGAATATAAAATATAATCACTTTTATTTACAGCCTTTCTGTTCCTGTTCACTATCTCTGCTTGACCAGCGATGGCCTTATTACAAAAACATTGATAAAAATTGAAAAAGATAAACAAATGCTAGTCTTGAAATATCCCAAATAAATAACAAACCATGAAAAATTGCATATATGCCTGTGTCAGGAACAAAGCCAACTTGTGAGGCCAGACAGGCTATGCTCTTTGTTTTCCCTTTGCAGCTATGCCTCCAGTGTTGTGGAATAAAGCTACCAGATTAAATAAATGTAATGGCAGCTATGGCATACAGGGAAATTAAATAGGGAGGTGCTTTGTAGCTTTGCCAGTTTCAGCAACACATGTGAAACCAAGGTCACCTCCTTGGAAGATCACTCAGTCTTTTACTATTAGGTGTCCCCCCTATGCTTATAGTGTAGTGCCTTTTTTTACGAACTTGTTTTATTAATTACATCAAGTGACAATTCAGTTTAAGCATTTGGAGGCTGCCAGGGAAGGCAAGATAAAATGTTACATAAAATGTTTCACTTGACAGTGGTGTACAATAGCCTTTAATAACATTCTGAGCAGTGTCTATATGCACATTCATTGCAATACTGATAAATGCATCTTTCAGGGCTCAGTTTGTTTGTTGAATGAGTATGTAAAAATAACATTTCTCTCTTGTATATCTCTAGGGACTGTTGTCATGAATTGCTGGGCCATATTCCCATGCTTGCTGATAAAGAATTTGCACAGTTCTCACAGGTAGACACTTTAATTACTATGGTGAATTACCAAATACTTGTGCAATGACATGCAAAGCTTGAGAAAACATTATTTCAACTACCTAAAGAAAAACCAAGAATATAGGCTTGTGGAGAAACATATTTTCGGTCCCCTGCCATAGGATTGGATAGTGCATCAGGGGGAAATAAATGGAAAAGAGAGGAGGATGTCTTTGTGGCTGCATCAGCAGCCAAACCCGGAACCTGAGCACCTGAGAGCAATGGGCAGACTCAGGAAGGAGAGAGACAGGCGGGGAGAATACCAGCAGGGAGTGCAGGGGAGGGAGATCTGCTGGGAGCCCCATAGAGAGGGAAATGTAAACGGGACTTTTAGCTGCCCAGGAGCCTAGAGAGTGACAGAAGGAAAAAATGTGAGCGAGACTTGTTTACTGCATGGGGGGACTGAAAAGGGAGAGGTATATAAGAGAGGTACTGTGCAAGTGTAAAAAGAGCTGCAGAGTAGCACAGGTGGTTAAGCCTGGCATCAGAGCAAGAGAGAAGAGCAAAAAGAGAGCTGCAAGGTGGGACAGGCTACTGAACACTGAGCTCCCTTTAAATGGGACATCTTGCTGTACCTTCCAATTACCCATTCCGTTATGCCAGGTGGCCTACGTCTCACCTGCTCCCTTGTGATGGAGATGCGATCTGCCTCATTTACCACCGTCCAGCCTACCAGAGTAATCTTTAGGGGACAGACTGTTGACTGGAGGACATTATCACAATATCAGAGTTGTGAGAGGTCTTTGGCCATCTTTGTGTGCAAGGAGCTTGTCTTCTATTGCTGAACTTTGTTGCTGCCAGTAGACTCTGCCTAGGACACCTTGGGAGCATTTCCTTCATAGCTTGTGAATTACAAGTACCCTCGCTTTGAGGGTGAGTGCTCCAATGCAAGTTTAAGGGCCCCACCACTAGCAGGCTTGGTATTTGATCCACCACTGAAAAAGTTATTTAGATAGGGTGTAAGAATGGTAAAAAGACCATCCTCTTTACTGCACCTCCTGGTGTCCTCTTTTAGAGGTATTCTCTACTGTTATTATTTATTTGCTCCCAGTCAGGTCATTCCACCCTTATCTGTCCAGTGCAAGGCCTTTTACAGGTGAAGAGAGGGAATGAAAGCCACAGATTCTGTCTTGATATTGTTTGTTCCTGGGTTTGATATTGCTTTAACCTAGTTATTGCTGAAACCATTGAAACTGAACTTCACTTACAGGGCTTATTACTGCTTAAATAAAGCCCACTTCATCCCTATCCCTATTGGTTAGTTGTTGCAGTTGTGTCCAGTTAGGGCAGGTCACCACTGGGAGTGCTAGGAGGACTCAATAATCCAGTTCCTTAGGGAGTCACTGCTATAGAATATATTGTTAACAAAGGGCACACTGTACTTTACACAGTTTTAGGGACCATTCATTCTAACCCCTTTCAGTAACATGCAGTAAAATATGTAATTTCACTATTTGTTACCACAATGTGTGGCAATGAATTACACAGAGCAATGGGTTATGGTGCCATTCATTTTAAAAGCTATTCCAACACATCTATGCAATGTAGCCCAGCGCACTTGCTATCACGTACCTGGTCTGGGAGACTGGATGGTTGCGGAGGCTTCCCTTGCACCTCGTGTCTTATGACCTTTGAGGATGGTGACAAAGACCAGGCAGACACCGAGTGGCACGAGTGCCAGTGGTAGTGAAACCGTGCAATCAGAAGGGTAATCTGTAAAACGAAGTCGAGGCAAGCCGAGGTCAAAATCCAGGAGGTCAGATGCAGTACCGAAGGAATAGGCAGAAGAATAATCCAAAACAGTCCGAGGTCAAAAGGCAGGCAGCAATCAAGGCAGGTGGTTTAGGCAGAAACAGGTCAAAATCCAGGTAAACGGTGATCTAATATTCAAAACAGCAAACAGGAGACAGGATACAAACAGGAGCTGAGAAGACAATCCAGCAACTAAGTGACATACTGGCCTGGTTTATATAGGGAAGTGAGCAATCCAAGTACGTCACTTCCTGTGCGCCTTTGGCGCGCTTTTCTTGGAAAGCGTGCCGTATGAGCGTCACTTCCGGTGCGCCATATGGCGCGTCTTTCGGTGGACAATACTTGTTGTGCGCCTGCGCGTGTTTCTCTGTTTCTCCTCCTAGCAGGACTTGGCGCATGCGCGGATCGGGCACGGGCATGTTGCTTACACTTGCATTACAGAACATTGCAATGCACAGATATGAATTGATTCTGAATTGTTGTGCACTGCATTAATAAAATATTAGTCAATGGTCATGCGTTAAGGTGCACTGCCAGCTGCTGCATAATAAATGAATATGCAGCATGATTAAACACAGGTAACATGTTGCTTTAACACATTTGCATTAACACAATGTATAGTGTGAATGAGACTTTAGCTTTTTGGATTTTTTTTAGACCACCTCTCCTTCAGATGACTAGCTATCCCCGTTTTGTACTTTCCCTTAACAAAAGGTTGATTTACTAAAGGAATAAAGATGATTCCCTAATGTAATGTAAAGTAAAGTAAGGTAAATCCAAATGTTTATCTCCTTGCTACTGTCCCCTGCTGCAGTAGTTCTTTTTGACCACTAGATGTCCTTAGTCTTCTGGGTTAAATGATGCCCAGAATATGTGCATTATATCACTGAATAGTAGGCTTCCTTGTTCATTGAGAACCATTGAACCAGTGTTTAAGTTTACTTAACTATGTTAGAACTTAAAAAAGAACTGAACCAAACACTTGTTTTAGTTTTTGATAGAGTAAGGGGGTTATACCCTCGGTAGCTTTTTTTGTCGGAGATATCCCTATCACTTCCTGTCTGATAGCCACAACAGAAAGAGAGAGTGAATGCCTCCAAAATGAGGGAAATCCCTAGTGGTCAACAGGGTCACCAGAACTAGTGACCTCATTGGAAGATTTCCATCTATTGCTGTTCTGAGATTTTCTTTAACGTTCACTTTCAGTAATAACATTAAGGACAAATAGAGAGGGTCCTAAGAAGAAAATGTTTACTCACCCTTCTGTATTGGGACAGCAGAAAAAAGGCAGGACTACAGAATCACACCCCTCTTCCATTATTCAATATTGATAAAAGTCAGGACAGGCAGAGAGCACAGGAATCTATTAGTAGGGTGGGCAAATCTGCCTGGGTTCAATTCGTGGAGCATTTGTGGAATCCTGCTTGAAGTCTGTGAAACCCAAACTTAGTACTAAAGCTCAGTGAAGTCTATGGGAGAATGAACCCTGATACAAAATTCTGGCCATTTTAAAAGCTACTAGGGAAGGCATTTTTATAATATTTTGCACAGTGGGGACTAAGGTTCCTTCTCTCCAGCATGCTGGGAGAATAACAGCTTTTGGCACCCTTTGTAACATCCCTTTGCTAGGATCAACTTGTTAACACAGAACATTTACTTATTTTCCCAGTGTTAAACTGACTTTTGAATATTGTGATGATGTGTAAATAACCTTATATAAAATGTTCCTAGTAATGATGGAAAACATGCGACCAATAATTATACAAGGTAAAGTCACCTCTGTTGCCTATAGGCACTAGTCTATTGTGCCTAATGGTACAGACCATGGTTCCAGACTATGCTTGATTCAATAAATATTACTTAAAATAATACTACTGACAATAATAAAAACAGTAACAGCAATAACTCAAATAATACCTAGTCTACCAATTGCATAATTTATTTATTGAGGGCTGATTGTGCTTTTGCATTTTTCAGGATATTGGTCTAGCTTCACTTGGAGCATCTGATGAAGATATAGAAAAATTGTCAACAGTAAGTCTGACACTGCCAATCTAAATTTCTTCTAAAATGAGGAAATGAGGATGGCATATATAATAAAACCTTTTATAAGTGTTAGTCTCTGGACTTGGAACCTCCTTTTGTATTTAGAAATTTAAAAAAATAATAGAAAAGTATTTAGAAAGAAACACTTTAGAGTTTGTGATGATGTTTGTCCTTAGCACACTTATAATCAACCTTTTTGTGTAGCTTATTGATCAAAGATGATGGTAAACCTCTCTCACCTGATGTGTTCACTATATACTTAGACATTAAATAGGTGGATATTGGATGACCATGTGTGCTGAGTATCATACAATTACTTCTCTTTTCCCTACACGATACACAATGAATTTAAGGGGTCTATTTATAAACGATTTGCAGATGCATTCTCTTGTGATTCTCTGTAAACATTCGTTCTGTGTGAATAGAGGCAAAAACATTCGTAGCATAATTTCTTTTCAGTTTAAATGTAATGTAATGCCGCATTATGGCCATTAGATAGCATAGGAAATAAATACTTTGTAGGCCGAATGACTCTGCGAATTGTTCATAAATAGACCCCTAAGTGTCAGACACCCAATCTTCTCTGATTTTTTGATATGTGTACATAGCCAAATTGGTTAACATTTTTGCTGCCCAACCCAAACCCTAAGAATGATCAGTAGCCCAAACTGAGCTTTTACTAAGCACTATGGAAACGGATATCTAACCCACCAGTATTTGTAATAGCAGTCCATTATTACACATATACTGTATGTATATACTGTATGTACAGTATATACTCACCTAGTATCTGGTACAACATATTTGACTCTTTTTTGCTATTGCTACTTTGCTTCCATATTACACAGGCAAACAAGAACAAAATCATGTCTGCAAAACAATGCTAGTAACTTAGCTTGGCAGCACTGTTCTAGAGTAGAATATCCTTTTAAAGGTAACTACGTTGATGTGATTTCTTGATTTCCATAGACCACTTTTCTTTCCTGTGAAGCAGCATAGCAATAAAACATATACAATGCAAGGAAATGAATGTAAAATGCAAGAAAATAAATGTAAATATATGTACAGTATTTTATGTATACACAGAATACAGGTCATCATGAGTGGTGCTTATTAACAGCATAAGACTGAAGTGTATACATACAGTTTGGTAAAACAGATGATATCCTGTATTCCAGCTTTATTGGTTCACCATTGAGTTTGGACTCTGCAAGCAGGATGATTCTATTAGAGCCTATGGAGCTGGCTTGCTGTCATCTTATGGGGAGCTTAAGGTCAGAATTTCCTTATATTCACTTAAAATTGATTATCGCAAATAAGAGCATCTGTAATTGTAATAATCAATAATTTTGTAACTGAAGACTTACAAAAACAAAGGACGGTCTAGAACCTGTATAAAACCTTGTCGTCTTAGGTTCTCAGCCTTGGTTTCGTTTTCACATATCCTGCCTTGGATAAGTGGAAAGGAAATTGTGTATGTATAACTGTAAATAAAATAGTGAACTCAGGTGCGTGCTAGACGCACGTGGAACAGCCGGGGGAGGCTGGGAGAGGTCAGGAAGGTCGGTGACCCAAGGGACCTGTTGGAAGCATTGCTTGGAGAGCAGTGTGAGTATCACACAGAAGTGTGCTAAGAGCCTTAGAGCTGAGGAAAGTATTAAGGACTGTATATGCTACAAAGGACTGTATATGCTACAAAGGACTGTATATGCTGAAGAAGGCTGATTATTATGAGAATGTTGGCCTTTATGTGAACAAAAGACTGTTTTTTATGTTGCTGCTGCAAGCTGTCTTGTGTAACAGGGGAAGACTACCCTGTGGATGAACAGATACTTCTTGTCCTCAAGCTAGGATGCAAGAAATTTTACTAAATATCAATGCCTCTGATTGACCAATGAAACAGTGATCACATCAACAGGAGAAATAGCTTCATACAGTATGCTTAGCCATGCAATGTCACAGTAACAGTTGCTATCTATAAATGAAGATAAGCAATAGAATAATTAACTTAAACTTTAAAACTGGGTTACTAAAGTCTCAGTCCCAAGTACCTCCCCAATCTTCTACACTACTGGCCAGTAGTAAAGTCTAGGCTAACCATCGTTGGGGCCCATAATGTAATGCAGAAATATTGAACAAATACAACTCAGAATGGCCAGTGGCCCCTCACCCACTCCTGGGTCAGTCTTGCAACTGTAATGTCAGTCAGTGAGAGTTGGGCGTCTCCTTTACGCTCAAGTCAACACTCCAGTAGATCTTTGTGGCAGCAGCGACCTCTTAAAGACGTCCTTGGATCACAGGAAGATTCTGAAAGATGATCGGTAGACACCACCAGGCTCCACGAGAAATGCTAGTCCTCTATGAATCTATCACCGATCGGTCATGTCCGTTCATCTGGGCCACAATGCCCCCCGCAGCATGTGCTCCGCTACACCTTGTAGAAATGATCACCAGGTAGACTCCAGTTGTGGCATGCCAGGCAGAGTCCGTTCTCCAGATGCTCTCTAGGCCAGATACACTTACCTGAACAGGGCCTCCCACAGGGCCAATGGCTTCCCTCCATCCACGCTGGCTACACACAGTAACCTGTACAGTGGGCTGGTCCACTCCTGACTGAGCACACTTAGTCAAACCAGCATCACTTCTCCTCCAGCAGACCACTCTCACTCCTGGCAAGTGTAGTCTCTACCTTCTCTTACAGCGCAGCTCGTTCTCAGCTCTAGACTGCAACTCCCACAAGTCCCTCTGTGGCACGTGTTGCACACTATTTGTTACCTATTTACAGTTAAACATATACTTAATCAGGTAGCACATAGGGGCTATATATATATATATATCAACTGGTCTCACCATTGATTCCAGTCATACCTTCAGTCTTGCATCCTTATACAGGCAGACTGACATCCATTTATCAAGGCATTTTGATATTTGCATAACTCCTCCTAAGAGCCAGTTCACTGCTTGTATCAGGGCTGAGGGTGTTTTTCGGAAGCTATGTATAGCACGCTGATGGCCCCTCCTCCTTTCCACTACATAAAAAACCACAGAGACCCAGTGATGTCACTGGTTCTTAAATTAGGTATGTAATGAAAATGGTAGGGTTAACACAACTTGAGGGGCTATTCACTAAGCTGCCGAGGGCAGCCAAGTGAACAACCGACCCCAAGTGAAGTGAGCCGAACACTGTTTTTTCTCATTTGCCCCCTTTTTTTCTTCCCTTAACCTATAACTGCTTCAACTATTTTAACTAATCTAACTAATCTATAATTCTCCATTACACCCCCAGCCAAGTAATACACATCATATTTCCTAATAAACAAATATTTGTTTTTCCTTTTCTTTTAAATATATGTACATTAATTTCTATATCATTTCAGTATGCATTATCAAATAAGCCCGAGCTTCGTCCTTTTGATCCAGAAATTACTGCTGTCCAACCATATGAAGACAATTGCTTCCAGCCAGTATATTTTGTGTCAGAAAGTTTTGATGACTCCAAAGCTAAACTCCGGTGAGTAAAGGTATATAAAAATACAAGTCAGAAAAAACCACAATATCTGTAAATAACTAAGAGTCGTTTTCAAATGGCATATATGTACAGTATACATTTTTTATTGCAAAGAAAAAGCATTGACGCTCTTCAAATATCTGTACACTTTAACTATTTGTCTTCAGTTAAAAAAAATCATCTTCACAGTTTATATAACAATAAAAATAACCTAAAAAAGTGAAAAAAACAATGAGAATGTATAAAAAATGGAAACAACAACAGTATCATACATGTACGGCAATACCAGATAATCAAATAGAGAACAATGAGTTAGACAGATGCCACCAAAGATAGCATATAACCAAATTCTTTATGCAGTTCCCTGGGTTTTTTTAGAAGAAATCTGCAAATTCTTGTCAGGAATGACTTACTCATTGGTTGTACTCAGCAAAGTGACTGCTTTTGTGAGGCTATGCATGCTTAAAACAGTAGACATGTGCACTGCCAAAAAATTTGTTTTGTTTCGTTTTAAATTCGGATTTGTGTTATTTCGTTTTTCAGGATTCGGGTGTGAAAGTCAATTCGGATTCGGAATTCGGATTCGGACGAAATTCGGTAGCGTTAGTACGAACGTTCGTTTCGTTTTCTGTTCTTATTCGTTTCTTATTCGTTTCATTCGTTTGCAGCAAAAGTGACATTTGAGGGGGAAAAAATATTTTTCTCCTTCTCTAATGTCACTTTGCTCCAACGAACGAAATGAATAAGAAACGAATAAGAACAGAAAACGAAAAGAACGTTCGTACGAACGCTACCGAATTTCGGAAATGGAAATTCGGATTCGTTTGCATTGGTTATGTCTGTAATTCGGAATTCGGATACATCCGAATGTCCGAATTTCCGAAAATTCGTCCGAATTTCGATTCGGAACGAAACGAATCGCACATGTCTATAAAACACCAAGAATTTTAAAATAACCCGGTATACCTGTCAAATTAATCTAATATAACATGACTTAATACACTATCTAGAAAAATAATTGTCCCATGACAGAACAAGACCAACTCAAGCAGTCATATAATAGATCCAGGCTGCTTAGTCCATCATTTTGAATTAACAATCTTTATTGTGTTATAGAAAATGTATTAAATCTACACAAAAATCAAAAGTTACAAACCAATCGCACCACAAAGACACCTCTGGTTAAAATGACAACGTTGTCAATCAGTTAAATATGCTTAAAACCCTTACTCCTAAGTGTTCTTAGAGTGATCTTAGACCACAGAATCGGAGACAACCCCACTAGTGTAAATCAACTAATAAATAAAAATGATTTGATGAAACCAAAGGTCTTTGTTTACCTGTCTCCATTCCTAATGTGGTACATTTGTAAGTGCTAAGATTCTCTCAATTTCTATTGCTGGGTACCATTCCCTTTCATAATAGGAGGAATTTATGTAGTGGATCTATAGTTTAGGACCCATTTAAAAATATTAGCCTTTTCTTAAAATACACTTTAGTCCATTTAAGAGTTAACAATGTACCCCAGGCAAACACCTAAATACACAGATAATAAACAATATGGGAACTGCCATACTTCGCAGGAATAGAGTGACTGGAAAGGACAGTAGTAGATGGAGTCAGATGGGGGAGTGTGATTGTCCTGTCATGTCATTGTACTTAAATGTATTTAAACAATTATTTATTAGCCTTTGCAGTGGGACTACCCCCTCGCTGCAAGGATTAACTGCTTGTTTGTGTCTAGGTCCTAAAATAACAGGCTCTGAGCCGGCCAGCTGTCACATCACTACCTCCAGCCTGTCTCCACCTCCCTGCAGCATTGGAATCTTCTTCAGCATCCTCACATCTATACACTGTGCATAGAGTGTGATGATTTATGGGACCTTAGACCGCTGCAGAGAAGGTGGAGAGACGTTGGAAGGAGTGGTCTAAGGAGAAGCTTGTTTGGTGCTTCGGGTGAGTCTAACTTTTTTTTCACCTAGACAAAAACGAGAACTTAACCTTTGCAGTGTGGGGAGTACCCCCACTGCAAGGGTTAATACATAATTCCTGGAGTTCTTCTGTAATCTAGACCACATGATGTACTTCAACAGGGCCACAGGAACACTCACCCTATGCTGACAAGCTGAACTTCTGATATCTTACTCTTCCATATAGAAGAATGAAAGGTAAATACTGAAAGTATCAGTGCCAAAATCCAAGTCCCATGCCACACATCTGGAGTCCCATGCCACACATCTAAAGAACTGCAGTTATGCTATAACAAAAATTTTACTTCCAAATAATACAAATAAAAATGATGAAAAAGAACAATCATGAACAGGCCATTGCCATGTCGTGTGGCTATTACTGGAACCTAGAGTGACTGAGGGCATTTCATCTTTTATATATAATTTCTGCAGTTTATATGCCAATCAATGCACTAAAGTGGCCTCTTCAAAAGTCATTGCTTTGCTGCTCTGTAGCTGCTGCAGGTATTTCCACATTTCAAAGTCTGTGAATCCCCACCGAATGCTGTGGTTCCTCTTGCAAACTCCTATGTTTTGTAGTGATGTATGAACTGGCAGGAGGAACCACAGAAGAAAAAGGCCACCAGAAAGGTAACTATACATGCTATCCTTTTACAAGTGGTCATGTCACACCTTCACGTTTCCTGTTGTGCCAGCACGGTACGCCTGGATTCTCCCCTCCCCGCTCCGATCCTCCAGCGCTGGCTGGCGGAACGGATGGGGGAGGGGGCGGGTACAGCTGGCTCTGCCTCTAGATAGGCAGAGCCAGCTGTCACTCACACAGCTGGGCGGATCCAGACATAAGTGTCGGGATCTGCTTCAGCTGCGCCATCTCAGTATACCACGAGCTGTAGCTCGCGGTATACTGAGCTTAGGGTGACGGGAGGACGCTAGTTTGTGTCCTCCCGTTACCATAAGGAGAACTATGGGGAAAAGCCCTAACCCCATAGTTCTCCTTTAATCAGGGGTAGCCAAACTCATGCCCTCCGGCTGTGGTGAAGCTACAAATCCCATGATGCATCACTCTCTGGGAGTCATGTCTGTGGCTGTGAGAATCTTGCAATGCCTCATGGGATTTGTAGTTCCACCACAGCTGGAGGGCCGGAGTTTGGTTACCCCTGTACTTAATCATGCCCCTCTAAACCACACCAAATATACAACAATTCATCATCACACCTAATTTCTACCACAGCGTGCTTCTGACGCCACTACCAGTTTGTAGTTATGGCCACATTTTGCCACACAACAGCCTTCTTCTTTCCCTGTGGGTCCCAGAGTCTAGTCCACCCCTAGTTGCACCTCATTCTTCAAACTGTGCAGAGAATTATTAAAAGGAACTATAAGCACAGATTCCGGTACTTAAGCCAATAATCAATCAATACTAACTGTGTCACATAGGGCTTAGACCTGTGGCCCTCTTTCACAACAGTGTCCCACAGCATTTATTGTATTTTAATGTACATCTCTGTAATTTTGAACCTACTGACAATAACAGTATCACAAGTTTAATCCATTGGTCGAATACCCTAGGTATCTCGTTTGCATTGGTGGAACTGTTAAATGACAAATTAAAGAGAGAATCAATAAATACATTCATACATGTTTGTGTTTTGGGTTGCATTACCCTTACAACATTTGACACATTATGGATTGCTTCTTCATTTCAACTTAATGTCCTTAGGTTTTAGCACAATGGGAAAAGATAATTTTACCACATTTATTACCTCTTTACCTGAATTATGAGATCAAATTTGGGGCACATGTTGAAAAAAGGGGCTGTTAAACTTTAAAGTTTGCCATCCAATCCAACGTATTAAAGTAAATCCCTGTTGAGAATGTACCTTAGAAATAATTACCTCTGCAGGCCGTGAAACACTGCACGCGAAGCCGTGCAGAGCGAAGCAAGGCTATCCGGCACGGAGCTTTGCGTGCAGTGTGTGAGCTGCGTGCAGTCAGATGATTGACTGCACCTTCAGCCAATCGGCTTGTGCTTAACAACCGGCAAGACGTCGCATCCCGTCGCGCCGGTTAGCCGATTGGCTGAAGTTGAAATTGTTCATCTCGGCACGCTCTGCTCCGCGAGCTCTCGCCAGCTGAGGTGCCCAGGAGAAAATGACATGGCACACTGCTCGCAAAGGCAGCGCGCCACCACTCCGCTCTGCTTTGCGTGCAGTGTGTCACGGCCTTAAGTGAAGTCATTTGTGTTCTAAAGGCTAATTTAACCCAAATCATAACCATACTAAATACATGCCAATATATGCATTAGTGCATATATGCAGCAGTCATAGAGCCACGTGAATAAGGCTAAAATTTGGTTGATTGTAATTGTTTCTTTTTTTCTCTGCAGGCAATATGCCCTAAAAATGAAGAAACCATTTTCACTTTGCTATGATCCTTTGACGTGCAGTGTTGAAGTGTTAGACTCTATCCAAAAAGTCCAGACTTCTCTGAGCCAGATCATAGATGAACTGAACAGTTTGTGCTCTGCTCTGAATAAAATGTGCAAGACTTAAACAAAACTTAGATGTCATGGGGGTTATTATAGAGGAACATCTAGAGGAACATCAATATGGTAGAATAACTAAAATATGACAAATAATATTTGTATTTATGAATGTAAAGGAAACAAATACATGTATTTTTAGAAGCCAATAACTTTGTTAATGTTTTTTGAGATTAGAGAGATTTTATTTTCAGGTAGGTTTTATTTGCCTTACACATGTTTTCGAGCAAGGACTTCTATCAGCTGCAGGTCACTCGCAGCGAGGTGAGTGTGCTGTGCTCTGGGCCATGTTGTGTCACTGGGTAGTACTATGCGTGATAGATTGAGGGCGGAGCTAAGGGCGGCAATGTGCAGAATGTGACAGAGCTGAGGGTGGAAGTGTACGGAATGTGACAGAGCTCAGTGTGACAGTGTACAGAATGTGGCGTAGCTGAAAGTGGAAGTTTATGGAATGTTGCGTTGCTGAGGGTGGCAGTGTATAGATTGTGGCGGAGCTAAGGGTCGTAGTGTATGGAATGTGGTGTTGCTGAGGGTGGCAGTGTATGGAATGTGGCGTTGCTGAGGGAGGCAGTGTACAGAATGTGACGGAGCTGAGGGTGGCAGTGTATGGAATCTGGCGTTGCTGAGGGTGGCAGTGTACAGAATGTGACCGAGCTGCGGGTGGCAGTGTATGGAATGTGGCAGAGCTCAGGGTGGCAGTGTATAGAATGTGGTGGAGCTAAGGATCGCAGTGTATGGAATGTGGCGTTGCTGAGGGTGGCAGTGTACGGAATGTGACGGAGCTGAGGGTGGCAGTGTACGGAATGTGACCGAGCTGAGGGTGGCAGTGTATGGAATGTGACGGAGCTGAGGGTGGCAGTGTACGGAATGTGACGGAGCTGAGGGTGGCAGTGTATGGAATGTGGCAGGGCTCAGGGTGGCAGTGCATAGAATGTGGTGGAGCTAAGGGTCGCAGTGTATGGAATGTGTATGGAATGTGGCGTTGCTGGGGGTGGCAGTGTACGGAATGTGACAGAGCTGAGGGTGGCAGTGTACGGAATGTGACAGAGCTGAGGGTGGCAGTGTATGAAGTGTGGCAGAGATGAGGATGGCAGTGTATGGAGTGTGTTGGAGTTGATGGTGGCAGCGGGTATAAGTGGGAGTTTCACCTAAGGCCTCACAAAGTATGGAGCCGCCTCTGTTTTCAACCAGTACAATTTCAGTACAACTGCATTCACTTTGGGCAGATATTTTAAAACCCCATTTAATACACTTATGTTTTCAGTAAAAATGTGAAAAGCAAAACATGTGAGTACTGAATGCATCTTTATATCAGCCTCCAGTAACGTCATGCTCAGTAGAACTCAAACAGGTAGTGGGTCAATAGGTCAGTATTCTGAGACAATCAGGCTGTTGCATGCACATGTAAGATGCTCACATGGAGTTCGAGCACAAATTAACTTTTTAACCAGTTATAAAGTATTTTACTTTTTGACTTTATTACCAGTTATACCATTACCAGGGGGATAGAGCATATTTTAAATTCGAATTTGGTTCTTATAAAAAGTATAATTGTGCTGTTGCTGCATCATTGTGCTACCGCTCCTCCACTATTGAGTCAAAGGCAGGGGCCAAGAAGGTGACCAGGTTGAAACTGCTGAACTACATTAGAGAAAAGTAAGGTCACTGACTTGACTTTGATGTCTGGCTGTGTAGATCTCGGAACTGGATGGACATGAAACAGCTCCCATATATCTATTTCCACTGTTTATTTATCTGTTCCCCCAGATTTCAGCTTTAAGAATTTTGTTTTTATACTTAAAGGTCTGTGAAACACACTCTTTGTCCCCCTATGCTTATGCTTTCTGGCAAGAAGCATTTTCTTTACTTGTTAAAACTATTCTTAGCCTGAAAAAACTCATGCAGCCACCACATCTAGGGGTTGGTAAGCTGTAATATATAACATTTTTGTTTTTGGGTTTAGATATGCTTTAAAAGCATGATGGTTGTAAAGCCTTTTTTAAAGACTTGGGGAAGAAAGACAGCAACAAATCTGATTAAAATGATCATCTTTTATTTTACACCATAAAGGACCAAGGAATCTGGTTAATTTGGCAGCAGATCATTACTTGTTCCCATTTACTTTTCTCCAGTTTAACATAATCAGTTCCTATAACAAGGCTTTTTTGGCCTTGCCCTGGATCCATAGAGCAGTGCTTCCGTAATCAGTCCTTGGGGAACCTCAGATATTGGTGAAATCAGGGACGTAACTAGAAATCACGGGGCCCCATAGCAAAATTTTGTATGGGGCCCCGTGATTGCTAGTTATGCCACTTGCAGAGCCCACCTGATATACCACACAGCCCACCTGAGAGGGACCCTGCAGAACCCACCATAGACTCTCTATAGTGGGCTCTGCAGGGTCTCAGATTAGCTGCACACCTCTTACCTGCCAGCGCTCCGTGGTCGCCGGGCCCCGCCTCCTCTTCCGTCCCCTGGCCCCGCCTCCTCTTCTATCGACGGGAATCGCCTCCTCTTACACATCACTGACCCCACCTGCTCTTAGGTCGCTGGCCAGTGATGTAAGAGGAGGCGGGGTTGCTCTTAGACGGGCCCCGTATCCTCCTTCACTGCGAACGCTTGCCTCTTCTGCCGTAGCTGCTGGCTGTCACTGACACAGCTCCGCAGCGGCTGTGAGGGGAATCGCCGCTGCTGAGCTGTGTCAGTGACAGGCAGCACCCTTACATGCTATAGCGACCCAGACGGCCCACACGGCATCAGAAAGATGCCCTGGACGGGCCCCACTGTGCCCGGGCCCCATAGCGGTTGCCTGGGTTGCTATGGCGATTGTTACGTCATTGGGTGAAATAGTCTATGAGGTACCCGAAGGGCTAAAGTTGGATTAACTGAAATCTATTCATTACGTTTCGCAAAGTATTTAAACTGTTTGTCTGCATATTGTCAATAAAGATTTTTAATTTACTTGTGAGCTTGTTTAGGACTTATTTCTACATTATAAACAAATCAACACCGCAATACTTCCTAAAGTTTATGTAACCCCTAACAATGAACTTCTCGTATTTGTTCCCTTTTGGTCTATTAAATTTACAATTAAAAGCATTTTTGTTATATTTGCTTGAAAAATTCAAAAATACCTTTTGATCGTATCAGACAACAGAGTTGTCCTGTGCCTGTGCACATTTCCTGTGTTCCTTGTCTATTTAGCACTCATAGTCCTTATCTTGGGACTACAGAATGGGTAACCTTTTAGGGTGTAGAGATCTGAGAGGGGTTGTGTAGTTTGGCAAAAGACACTGGGCAGGGCTGATACCTCTCAGTTCACAAAATTCCTGCGTGTTGTCAGCCTGCAACAGGGTTTAACTAGGTACATTTCTGACAGATCAACAGGTATAATCTATACTTATAAGTCCTTTACAATGATAAAATAGATACATAGATGTACAGCATGTTTTAAAAATGTTGCCTTGACATACAATTCAAGTGATGTCCACCCCAGCATAGCTGCTTCAGGTCCAGATGAAGGAGGGTGATTTTGAATTATTGTTTCTCAGCTCCCCCCAATAAAAGAAATTGTGGATGTGTGAGAGAATAAAGAAGCATTGGTACATTTATGCCACCAGGGACTGACTGCAATTAGCATTGGGTAAAAAAATGATTGGTCTCTCCACTGATTGAAAGCCCATGCCGCTTTGCCTGGAGGATTAAAACCCAACTATAGCCAAAATTATGTTTTTCTTGTTCAATGATTTGTATTGAACATTTTCATTTAATTGTAATTTCCATGTTTAACAGTATATAAGTAATGTATTCCTGATACAGTCAATAAACAAGACATAGTATTATGATGTACTTATCTGTAGCATTGTCTTGTTATTCATATATTGTAGGTACTGGGTGGAAGGATAAACAAAAGCAGTTTTTTGTGTGTGCTACCATCCACTCTACCTTGTTTGTTAAATTTGGTCAATCACTACTACTTATTTCAATGGGGTTTTTTAATGGCAAAGTATGAAGTCACAAAAAAATGAATGTAAATAAAGTGGTAAGTAGGAAAATGAAAGGAAGAATAGGGGGAATGGGGAAATCTACAATTGGAGATTGAAAGTAGGAAAAAGTTAAAACCTCTGTCTGGTTTATATTGCTGTCTGTGAGTCCATTGCAAAGATTTGTACCTTATTCCCTTTACACCAAGTAAAGGAAATCATTACAACATGAATACAGGGACCAAGTAGAGCATTTGCAAACGTTATAACTTCTATTTTTTAAAATATTGTATTGCCGTCTGTGTACTTGTTGCCTTCAATCTTTGTCAAACCCCTCCCCACTCCAAAACATTAAAAATGGCTCTAGTTGAGTTTTAATCTGCTGCCTCTATCGATCGCATTGTGGAATCTGTCCTTGGGGCGGCAGGGAGAGTAAATCCGGCCCTGCATGTGACTCAACACATTCAACCAGTTTTTAGGCCGTACACACAAATCTGGTGATACTATATTTCATGCTGCTCATGCAAATGTACATGGAAAGAGCTTAGTAACGGTCATTCAAATATGTAACTGCCTGGCGGTTTAGTGAAGCTTTTTTCAGTAGTTTAAAGGAGAACTATGAGATGAGTGATTTCCACTCACCTCATAGTTCTAAGCCGACCTGTGACAATGAGACTGTCACAGGTCGGCTCAGTAGATCGGGAGGTGAGGGAACACATACCAGGTTCCCTCACCTCTCGATCCTGTCACGGCTCTCTGCCGTGACAGGGGGAGGGGCTGGATTCCCCTCTCCCCGCTCCGATCTGCCAGCGCTGACTGGCGGAACGGACGGGGGAGGGGGCGGGTACAGCTGGCTCTGCCTCTAGGTAGGCAGAGCCAGCTGTCACTCACGCAGTTGGGCGGATCCCGTCTTCCGAGTCAGGATCCGCTCCAGGTGCGCCGTCTCAGTATACCGCGAGCTTTCCCCTGTGTCCCACTCCTCACTCTCTGGTCTGGCTGACTGCTTGCTTCCTGGCTCATGTTCTGG